TAAATTATATAATTTTATTTGAAAAATAAATTATTTTCAAGTAATTTATTTATCAGATATTTTATTATTTTAAATAATAATAAAAGTCAAACAAAATTTTCATATATAAAAAATATAGATTTCATATTAAAATTCAAGAATATAGATATTTAGATTTAGATGAAAAAATTAATTTTAGAGAATGAAATTCTATATGAAATAAAAGAATAAATATCTATCAAATAAAATAATCATAATATAATATTAAAATAAATATTTAAATATTATTTATATGTTTTCACTCATGTAGTATCTACTACATGAATATCTATTAAACTATACTAACTGATAACATATAAAAATATTTCAAATGAAAATTAAAATTAAATGATTTCAAATCGTATATAATTTGATATATAATAATTTTTTTGCAAATAAACATATATAAATGAAAAACAACTTACTTTTTTTTTTAAATTGTATCATATATTTTTTATTATGCTATTGAACGTAAATCAACATTTCTTATAAAGAAATATTCTTATAAAATTTTGTAATATAAAATTATTTAATTCAAAAAATATTTTGATTTGAATTGCATAAAATCATGTTCTTAAAATTGATATCCAAATATATGTCTTTCAATTTGGATGGAGATATTCATATAAAAAGAAATCTGATATTTGAATCTGATACCCCTATAAAAAGATGGTCTTGATATTTGAAAATTCATTAGAATCATCTCTTTCTATTCAATTTCATTATTGGGAAAAACAAATTATAATTACATTATTGGGATAAACCAAACTGGAAGATAATAATAAATGAGTATATTATGAATATGTTGAAATCATAATTTGGTATAATAAGTTTAATAATAAATTTAATAATAAATTTAATAATAAATTTTTTACATAAATTTTAGAAAATGTTGATAAATCATTTAAAAATAGGATAATTTTATTATATATTTATTTATATATAGATTGAATATTTGAAGATTTGAATATCAACAGTATTAAGAAGTTATGTGATATAACTTTATATAATATTTGATGAATATTAATTAAATGAAAATATCTTTAATAATAATTAAAACATCTCTAATAGTTTATATAATATAAGAATATGGACTAATAAATTACTGATTTAATTGTTCTGTGTTGATGATCATGCAGTGAAGTGAATGATACATTGATCCGACGGCATATTGTCTTCGTGTGTATTTTTCGATAATTTTTTAGCTATATATTATTTAACTATTTTAATATTATATATGCAAATTTATTATAAATGAGTTCGTCTCGAATCATTGTATCAATTAAAAATGATACAATGATTCAGTGATATATTTTAAAACTTGAATTGAAATTTTAGATAAATGATTTTGATCTAATTAATTGATTAAATTAGATTGCATTGTTTTCTAATTTCATAACTTTAATATATTTTATTTTTTTATTTCAAATATATATTATTTATCTATTTGTTAAAAAAATTTTATATTATATATATGTTGTATTTGTTTTTTTGTCAATAGCTACTTATTTTTTAAGATTTATAAATATTTAAGAACATTTACTATAAATCAAGTTATATTTAAATAAATTTATAGCAGATTAAAAGCAATTTAATTTTGTATTATATAAAATAAAAAGATAGTCTATCTTCGTTATATCATTTTTTCCACTCATTTTTCCCCACTTCATTTAATGTAAATTTTAATTTTTTTATAATTTAATAAATAATCCTGAAAAAATTAATAATTGATATTTTTTATATACCAATTTTTATATTTGTTTTGATCTCTAAAATTAATTCTTCAAACAAATTCACAAATATAAACATATATAAACATCCTCTATAAAATTCAACTTATTTATTAATTTTATTATTAATTTTATAATATATAAAATAAATTAATCTTTTCAATATAGCATTATAAATGAATTTTTATTTTTTAATGATAAAATGAAATTAAAAAATGTATAAATGTTTTTTCTTTATAACAAAATAATAATTATATTTCAAATTTTACAGTCATTTTTATCTCAACAAGATATTTTTTATTCCAACTATTTTTTATGAATAAAAAAAAATACATTTATATGAAATAAAGAAAAGAAATAAATCAATACAAAAAATATTATATATTGTTTCATTTATAAATGATATAGTATGAAACATTAGATAAAGCAACATTATAGATATTACAAGCAATATTGTTCAGCATATTGATTTAAATGACGTAAATTCTGATAATATATATTTTGATAATAAAATTTTGTTCTTAATATTAGCAGTGTCATTAAATAATATTTTTCTAATTCTATCTTACTGATTATAGATTATATTGTTTACCTAATCTAATAAACATCATAAACAATTGAATTGTTTATACTATATGAAATTTGTGATAAAATTAAATATCTTAAATCAAAAAACTTGTGATAAATTTAATAGCTTGAAAATAATTTTCAAAAATATATGAGATATAAATGTATCTAGTATTGAACAATAGAATATAAATATATTCCATATATTTATATATGGAATATATAAACGTTCCTAATAATATTAAAATGTTTATAGGATATAAATATAATTAGGATATAAATATACCTAATATTAATTATTGAGATATAAATAATAAATTTAAATAAGAATTAAATACATAAAATTTCATATATTCATTTTATTCCATTTTTTATTCATTATTTTATTTTTATTTTATTTTTATTATTATTCAAATCATTAGAATCATACTAAAATATGAAATATATACAAACGTATTTACAACAAATTTTTTTTATTCATTATTATTATTATTCAAATCATTGGAATCATACTAAAATATGAAATATATACAAACATATTTACAACAAATTTTTTTTTATTTATTATTAATTTATAAAAATTTATAAGAATCTTTTCCTAATTTTTTATACTTTTTCGATATTTATTCGATCTATCTAAATGATTAAATGATTCCATAATGAATAGTCTTTTAATTATTTAAAGAATTTATTAATTAAATTAAATTATTTGTATTATATTAATTAAATTACTAATATAATATTATTAATGTAATATATTATTAGATGTAAATTTAACAATAAAATTAAAAATAAAAATAGAATTTAATTTAAAAAAATAGAATTTAACATTGTTATTTTATGAATTTGCATTGTATGTGATGAGATTTTGTGTGTGTGTGTTTGCATGTGTGTGTGTGTGTGTGGTGTGTATTAATATATAAAGAGAATGTATACAGGATGACAGAAGTAAATCGATAAAACTTAACTGATAATTTCTGTTTTGTGTTGTTTGTTGTATCTTCAAGCAAGGTTTTTTTCTTTGCGAAAAATATATATAATGAATAAATGAATATAATGAAAAATATATAAAATAAAAATATAATGCGATTTCTTTCATTTTAACTTTATTGTCAATCGTTGAATTCGATATAGTTGTTTCGAATTGCCGCTAGCAATTATCATCATAGTGTGACATAGAGTTCTATAATTGACCCGTATTTTTCGTTAATAACTAATATTAATAAAACCGAAAAGGAAACAAAGAAAAAAATTATTTGAAATCATTAATCATTTAACAACGTTTTAAACAATTTTTCTGTAATATTTTATGTAATATATATTTTATGTCTATAAATATTTTTTATGATATAATATACAAATATTTTCATGAATCAGTATACTTGTATATAATTATAAATGATTTGTATCATTTGATGATTTATATCAATGATATTGAAATCAATGCGAATGATTAATATTTCGTGTTCATAATTGATAAAATATTGTCATTTTGTTTTTTGAAAGTATCATCTTCATTTATTTGATTCGTTAAACATTATATATCATAGGAGGCCAAGTTTTAGGCATAATTTTCAAATCGTTATATACAGCAGCAAGTAGGTAGATAGGTAGGTAGGTCGATCGTAATTATTCTATTGTGTAATGTATTATTGCTAACTGCGCAGCCGACTAACACGAATGATTAACATCAATGCTAATTATATATCTTTTCACAGCTGAATATCCTGTGAGTTCTTTTCTTTCTTTCTCGCTCCTTTATGTATTTACGTTTCCGTACTCTCAATTTTAAATTTGTGTTTGTCTATATATCACAGTTAACGAAATAAGCTAGAAAATAGTTGACATTGGCAAATTTTTAATAACTAGGAATATTGATAAATGTTCGTAAATTAATCAATATATTTAAAAAAATGAAATAGCTATTTATATACATTATTAATATACACTATAATTTGAATTAAAAAAAATAAGAAAAAATCATAGTTATATATTTATTAAGGATATCTTTATTTAATATATTTAATAATTAATAATTAATAATTAAATATTTTATAGTTTATATTTAATAATTAAA